TCATGCGTTACTTGTTGGATGATCAACAAGTATGTGCATGCATGTGATTCAGATACCATATTTGCGAATTAAGACTTTGTATTAGTTCATTCACACGCCCCTCTTCAGTAATCTACAATCCCAAATCCTCGTGTGGAATTCCTGCAGCAGTAGAAAACATTTCAAGATCAGCAGCGAGAACTAGAATCTGACTATTATGAACCAGGGTGAGTTAATTACATCTTTATGCTTCAGAATTATGTTTTCAAAAGAGATATCCATTTCAAAATAGAATTATGAAAATTAAAGAAAATGCTACATACTAGATATTTAGAAAATATCTTGGTCAGTCTCCATATTTTTACTAATCATTTATTGTTGTCAACACCATGAGGATGATTTTTTTTTTAGAAAATGAAGTGTTACATGAGATCATACTGCAATTCTAGTTAGAGAAATCAGAAGTAACGATGATTCACAGAAAGGAGAGGTTAGTGTACATCTTCGTTGTTATGTTATTATAAGAGTGGTGATGTACTGATAATAATTTATTGCTATCTGGTGAAGTTTTGTGGAATTCAAAAATGTTATTTCTTTGTTCACTTTTTATTGTTTGGAAGTGAAGAAATAAGACATATTTTGGTAAACATAGCTTATTTCATTTTCAGTTTTTATGTTTTATTAGTATAGTTTTGTAGTAGATAATAATTGTACCCCTTCTAGAGAGTTGGTAGATGCATGTAACATACCTTAAATCGCTTTACATCTCCTTTCCCTACTCTCTCTTCCCCTGCTCTGTCCCTTATTCCCCTTGTTTTGCATTTTTCACAAAAGATTTTTTCATCTATCTTTTATTTTCCTCTTTAACTTACTTATACTTTGGGTTTCTCATATAAGAAAATCCATGAGATCTCTTGTGTGTCAGATTTATTTCATTCAACATGATAGTCTCAGATTCATCCATGTTTCCACAAATGGCCCATGCCTATCCTTTACAACAGAGAAATATTATATTCTGACAAGTTTAATAATAATCTCAAAACAAGCAAAAGTTTATCAAACAAATTGAGAGTTCTTAAACAAGTACAACTGAATTTGCTTTTCAGGACACTGTGTAATAGAATAGGTGTAATTTAATAATTACAATATGCACAATTTTACGAATTAAGAAATAATATAAATGTAAACTTGTTGATAATATATGACAGGCTTAATGTCTGTTCTCGGGATACTGAATTACTTTCTTCATGTTCTGCCCTACTGTGGCCACTTTTATAGCAGCCATACAAACCCTAAAGCACATAAGCAGAAAATGTGAGAAATCTGGAATCTCAGTGTAGATTGTGCTTAAAGCTAAAATACAGATGCTGGCAGTGATTTGATCAAATAATCTCTGGGAGCCAAGTGGAGAAACTCATAAGTCAGGTTTATTTTTGGCTCTTTAAAATCAATGAGACTAAACCTCTGGTTAGAGAGTTGACAAAACTACCAGAGGAATTACTTTTGCTTATACTGTCTCTAAATAAAAGTTAGGCTCCAGCTGTATCTTACCTTGATTAAAAAAAGAAAAAAAACTATTTTATATCCCTTTGAGTTTTATTTATTTATTTTTTGAACCAGGGATCAAACTCTGGTCCTTGCGCTTGAGAAGCAGGCAGCAGAACCTCGGAGCTGAATCCCAGTCCCACCCCTTTGACTTTTAAATGAAAAATAGATCATGTCTTTGTAGCCTACTTGGTTCACTAGAGATTTTCTTTTGTTTTGTTTTGTTTTTGGTACCGGGGATCGAATTCGGGTCCTTGCGCTTGCGAGGCAGGCCACCGAACCGCTGAGCTAAATGCCCGGCCCCACTAGAGATTTTCTTACGGAAACAATCTGCATTGTACTGACTCTATTTTAACTTCTCTGAAGAGTTAACACTGTTAAATTCTGCCCTTAAAGTACAGAAAAGGTAAATACAAACATTTTGGATGTGACAGAATTCTTAATTTGACCATGGAATAAGATATCAAAAAAATTCTATTGATGTTTATTCCTGACATTGCTACAAACTTCCAGAATTTCTCATTCAAGGCCGACTTTTTCATGGACCCCAAATACCTTAACAAATATTTAGCTATGAGCATTTTTCATGATGATGTGATAAATAGAACTAACAGAAATAGAAGAGTCCTAGCTCACTTTTGGTTGTCAGGTTTTTTTAACAAAAATAAAACACACATCTCTTCCAATTATGATTTATAAAAAAAGCATGTTTCAGAGTCAGTTTGGTGAATAAAAGGCATGTATAACTGTGAGCAAATTACTTGCTCTCAAAATTATCTCTGAGAAGGCTGGAGATTTAGCTCAGTGGTACCGCTGCTGGCCTCATAAGCTCAAAGTCCCAAGTTCGATCCCTGATACAAAACAAAACAAAATAAAACAACCCCAAAAGACAAAATTATCTCTGGAAAATAAATCCTAATTCATGTGATTTTGATAAATAAAAGTTCTAAAGTATCAGGCTGATTTTCTTGATTTTTTTCAGGGCTTGATTTTTAGGAATCTTCCACTAAAAAACTTATTTTTAATACAAAATTAATAGTCAATATGACTTTCATAAAGCACAGAAAGCTATCAGGAAATAAACTACAAAATTTTTCTATATTTTATTCATAATTATTTATTAACCAAAAAGTGCTTTCTTTTTGAGAATTAATATTTAATTGCTAATTTTGTGTGAATGAAAGAAGAAAGTGTATACAGTTTTCATAGTTTTATCACCTTTACTAGTATTTGAGGAATTACAAATGTTCTCAGATATATCACAATATTTTTAAATAATTGAGTAAAGGTATAATTTTAATTAAGATTACCCATGAGCATATGCCACATTTGGCACAGAACTTGATTTATTATAAGAAATTTATCATGACAAAATATTTTTAAATGTGCTTTTTTATTGGTGTATTTTGGATATACAATACAGTTACATTCATCATTAGGATCCTGTACCTTTACATGATGTCTCTTGGTTCTTATTTTTTCCCCATTCCCCTGCCCTCCCTTCACCCCCCCACTCTTCCCTATTTACAAAGACTTTATTTCCATTTTTTTCCTTTTCTCTTATTTTTTCTTTTCCCTTATTACCTTCCCCCTACCACTCCCACCTCCCCTACACCTCTAGACCTTTTCTTCCTGTTACACAATATTAATTACACAAGTTAGGTAGAACTCTTAAATACATTGGCACAGGAAAAGACTTTAGGAACAAATGTGAATGTTTAAAAGATTTTTAATAAGAGGCTGTTCTTTTCTCCACAAATTTGAATTTAGTTATGTTCTAGCCATGATCATATAAAGAGATAATTGTGAAACTCTAACCCATACTTAGAATTTTTCATGTATTGTGAATTTTAAAGCTGAAATGTTGAATCATTTAAAGCATATGGGATTTTGATATTAATTTTTTTGTTTTATATACTTGGATATATGTATTTTGGTATCATCTTTTCTGAGTTTGCCCCTACATTTGTGTGGAAGGATACTTCTTTTGATTGTTAACCTAAACACATTTATTATATAACTCACAATGTTTCAAGGTTGCTCCTTTTTTAAAAAAATTCCTGGATCATAGTGAGATGTTTTCATATTATTCAGTCATATTTACCAGCTTCTGCTCATTTTACATTTGTATTTATGACCATCACTATTGAAGATCATACAGATATCTCCACAGACTCTCTCTCCCTTAATTTCTCCTGAACATTATCTCAGTCACGTGGAATTCAGTACTATTATGTCAGTCGAAAAAGAAAACAAAAAGATACATTGTGGAGTGGGAGTTGGAAAGCTACATTAAGTCTGAAACTGACTTCAGCCGCCATCCCTTGGCACTTAAGCACTGAGATTCGTTGACTACAGATCCAGGCCCCCACTTTCACTCTTTTCCACCAAGTTATTAGCATCAGATCTAATGAGTGACCACCACAACACTCATGCTCCAGGTGTACTAGATACATCGAGGATAAGAGAGAGAATTCAAATGGGGGAGAGGAAAACAATAGCTGCACTGCGTGACTAACATATCAACTCCTTTTAAAATAATGTGTTTGAATCCAAATGCACCCTTACACCACTCACACAGACACACACAAATTATTTCTCCTTGCAAGACAGCCCAGATTTTGTCCTTGATGTCTAACCCCAAAAGAATATTGGGAACAATTAGGATATTTCAAAGTATCGAGACAACCAGAAACAAGGTGGGAGTCAATTTATTTATTTTAATGGATTTTATTTAATGAGCGCTTGTATAGTATCTGTCTAGACTGTCACATACATGATTTAGGGGACTTTACTTGGGTCACACAAGCAGGTAGTATTAAGGCTAAGCAGGAAGTACCAAAGCTAAGCAGGAAGTACCAAGGGAAACAGGAAGTACCAAAGGTAAGCAGGAAGTACCAAAGCTAAGCAGGAAGTACCAAAGCTAAGCAGGAAGTACCAAAGATAGGCAGGAAGTACCAAAGCTAAACAGGAAGTACTGAAGCTAAACTCCATCATTTCATACTTAACTGTAGCACTCTTCACGATAGTATTGTTACCCACTGCCCATGATCACAGGGGTTTTTCTGTGAACTATGCAGTCTATTTGTCAACGCATTTCCAAAATTCTTCATTATTTTTTTTAATTGAAAGAAAGCAATTTTCAAATTGCAACAATAGCACTTTGCCTACAGTGATTTTTCCAATTCTCATTAGTCTGTCCTGTTGTTCACCTGAGCCATTTTCTTCATTAAATACCATCCTGCAGACTGCATAGCTACTGACTAGTTTATGGTGTTATCATATGCCATCTTCTAGACATTTTTAGGTATCAGTGATAATTTCTGATCATCTCCTCTAAAAATGACCCAAAAAGCCCATAACATGTCACAGAAATTGCATATTTAAGATTTTTATTCCTTTCCATTTACTTCTTTAGAATTACGAGTAAAGATATCTTTGGTTCATCTGTCACCCGAGTCAATTTGCAGCATCAAATGCCACCTATCTTCAGAGAGAAAGTTATGAAAACCAAGAAGCTGCTGGAAAGTAATTACACCAGACCAGCTGAGTTTCTGTTTGTTGGATTCACCGATGACCTCCCTCTCAGGATCACCCTGTTTGTGGTGTTTCTTGTCGTGTACTCATTAACCGTGGCAGGGAATTTGGGCTTAATAATATTAGTTCGTATTGATTCAAGCCTCCGAAACCCCATGTATTACTTTCTGAGCAATTTGTCCTTCTTAGACATCTGCTACTCTACAGCAATCACTCCCGAAATGCTGGCGAACTTCGTGGCATCCAGGAAGTGCATCTCCTTCCAGGGCTGTGTGCTCCAGATGTTCTTCTTCGCCTGCTGTGCAGATACTGAATGCCTCCTCCTGGCTGCCATGGCCTGTGACCGCTTTGCAGCCATCTGCCATCCACTGCTGTATCCCACACTGATGTCCCCCAAGGTCTGCCTGGGCCTCGTGGTGTTGGCCTACCTCAGTGGAAGTGTCACCTGGCTGGTGCACGTCTCCCTCACCTTCAGGCTTCCCTATTGTGGCTCCAATGTCATTGATCACTTCTTCTGTGACATCCCTCCTCTTCTGGCCTTGTCTTGTGCAGATACCTACATCAACAAGCTGCTGCTGTTCTCCTTGTGTGGCTTCATCCAGACCGGCACCTTTGTGGTGATCTTCATCTCTTACATCTGCATCCTGGCCTCTGTGCTGCACATCAAGTCTTCTGGCAGCAGGAGTAAAACGTTCTCCACCTGTGCTGCTCACCTGGTGGTGGTCACCTTATTCTATGGGACCCTCCTGTTCATGTACCTGCGCCCCGCTGCCAGCTACTCCCCAGCCTTGGACAAGGTGGTCGCTCTGTTCTATACTGTTGTCTTTCACATGTTTAACCCCATCATCTATAGCTTCAGGAACAAGGATGTCAAATGTGCACTTACAAAACTATTTAAAAGAGAGTGAATTTTCAGATGAATAAAATCTGAATCAGGTAATGATCTTTTCAATACATATTTTCAGTATGTATTTTTTTCAATAGATACTATAACACATATGCAAACAAGGTGTATCTTGTACATCCTCCTTACATATATATTTAAGGGAAGGTGATTGGATGGCTGCATGGACAGATTATCAGATAAACTAAATATTTTTTATTCAGGAAAGAGAATGTATCCAGACTCTGTACTTACAAAACCATTCATTAACAGAGAAATTTTATATTATTGATGACAGCAGGCAATGTTAGTCACGTGACTCAGGAAATCTGAAAGGAGGCAGTTTAATTATCTGTTTTGTATTGAGTCAGTGTGAAATATCAAATCATCTATTTCTCTTTAGAAGAGTTGATTACTTCAATAAGTCTCTTATGCTTTTATTCATGATTAGCACTAATGTCATCCCAGCAACTTTGTGAATATTAAGGCCATATATTGTGTTAATTACCAACTATATATAATGTATCTTATAGCCATAGTCCTTGAAGCTGTTTCTCCAAGAAGAGGTAAATAATCATCCTGATGATCTTATGCTATAAGTTTACAATGTAAGTTGGGAGTCATTTTTGCTCTCAGAAATGGCTTGGCCAAAAAGAAGAATATGTATTTCTAATTTCCTATTTAAGTTTCAACAGTTTTATGACTCTAACAGCACAACAACTAATCTTTTTCTTGAACAATGATCAAATTATAAACTGAAGTATTGTAATTATATAACTAGTAAACATAGCAATCACTTTGTAAGAGGATCTGAAATTTGCCAATAAATACAAATAACTTTACTACTACTAATAAATGAGTACTATTGCTAATGCAATAGCACACCATGAATGCATCTGTCATGGGGAGTTAGCGCATGTTCATAATACATATTAATTCTTTTCCTTCTGTTCCTTCTCATGTGTCTTCTCCTTCCTCCATCTCTTCTTCCCCTTACCTTTACCTAAAGATCTCCCTGTTTCATATTATCTATTTTTATTTTGTTTTTTGTTTGCTTTTTGCATACGAGATACCATGCAATAAACTCTTTGTATTTTAAATTTATAGTAATTTTTCTCATTTTTTTCTTATGAATAATCAACAAAAATCACCGTAATAATGTTAGTAATTTCTATATACTTAATATATTAATGTATAAATATACTGCATTTAAAATTATTTTAATTATTTTATGCTGTTTTAAGTAAATAATTTTCCATTGAAACAAAACAGCTCTAAAATAATTTCAGAAATAAACACTTGAAATTAGTTGTGGCAATGTGATCAGGGTGATGATCTATCTGCCAGATACTCTCAAACATTGTGTTTTATACATTTAATAATTTCATCATGTTAGGTTAAATCTGAAGTTCTTGAGTATCACAGAAAATTTTAGAGAACAGTGAAACCACTGAAGAAAACCAGCAATGTCTGGAGAGAATACTGAAATTGTATATCAACAGAGATTTTTAAGTAGCACACAGGACTTCCTACTTGCCATTGAGACTGACTTGTTTGTGTTATTCTAAAAGTGACTTCTTTAATTAAAAGATAAACAAACCTTGGTGTATGCGTTTTCAGTAATTGATCACACTGTGTTTCCTGCTGAGAATTCTCAGCCCTATTCCCATTATGAACTTAACTGCATTCATTCACTCACTCCTTGCTGGATTTTGAAGTTCCTTCCTCATTTTGTTTTCATTTTGTATCCAATATTGTAGTCTAATAATGTCTTGTTTGATCTTTCACTACTGTATGTAGTGTAATTATAATTCTTTGAATTTTGAATAATATTTATATTGATGGAAATCTTCATTATTTAATTTTTCTGCAGGTGACTTTCTGCTTCTATGTTACAAAACCCAAGGCAAGCTATTGAGTTAAAAGTAGAAGTTAAGAGGCTGGGGATTTAGCTCAGTGGTTCTGCCACCTGCCTTGCAAGCCCAAGGATCCATGTTCATTCCTCAGTACCAAAAAAACCCAAAAAACAAAACAAAAAAAATTTAAAAAAAAGTAGAAGTTAAAATTGTCTTCCACTCCCTCCCACACAAATAATTGGTATATTTCAAATATATTAACAAAAACTAAGCACAAAATGAGTTAAAAAGCCCATAAATAAGTGTGAAATTACACAAACCTCCACAATTCCTTATTAGTACATGTTTGCAATGCATAATTTACAATCTTTGTGTAGCATTACCATAAAGAAAGATAAACTTGAGCAACTTACAAGAAAACTGGTATGCTTTCAGTCCATGCTATTTTGTGTTCACAGCATCTTTAGTAGAATGGAATTTTAGAGGAATTAGCAGATGCAATCTGTAGAAATATAGGACCTATGAATTAGTAGGAGATAATCATTAATTTTAATTATACATTAGGTTGAAGGAGCCCTTTCATGTCTGTTAATTTTGTTTTAGGCATAATACACAATAAAGTTTTGTGAGTGATTCAACAATGAAATTTTGAAAAATTTTACAGTATCATGTGATGCATTTATTTCTGTCTTCCACGTAATGAACCAGTGATGCAGGTAGATCATGTATGAAAGGAACAGCTTCAGCTGTGTTTTCACTGGAGCACTTGAACACGTATCCAAGTGGCGTTTGTGCTGTTGTGCTCTGGTGCTCTCCATTTCAGGTACCCTCACTGTCACACCTTTATCCCAGGTTGCTTTCATTATTAGCCACCATGCAATTATTTAACTGACTCATTTAAAGAAGGATGACATTTAATGTTTTCCATGAAATGACAGGCGTCTATGGACAAATGTCTGGAGGACCTGGGCTCTGTGATTAGCTCCAATCTCAAGAGCCAAGTGGGCCACAAAGGATCCAACAAGTGGATAATTGAGATTCCCATCTAAGAGCCCACATTCTTGTCCTCAAAAGAACAGAAACTAAACATAAAACTTCTCTACTTCCAACAATAAATCCTTTTAGCATTATGAAAGCCTGGTCGTGAATGCCTGTCCTCCAGGCTTTCTGCTGGCTTGGAGGTTTGCTTAGCTGTAAGTATGCTTAAAAATATTAATGTAGATTTTTTTCTCACACTTCTTATATTTCCAGTTCTCTTTTCAAACTATTACCACTTAATTTGGTTTTAGTATAGTTCTCAAACAGAGGAAAAGCTTCCTAAACTGTCATTTATCTCTCACTGGAATTCTTGTTTTGTGAGACAAGACAATATTCACATAGTATTTGCATCAAGTATTTCTTTGTGTGTGGATGAGCATGTGTATGCTGATATTATTATCTAATACTTAGCTCAGAGTGCCTTGAAGTTACTTGCATATTTGTGAAAAAATTATTTAAATATATTATTTGAGAAGAGAATGCATTATAGCTCTGCTACAGTGAAAAGTGCTTATTTCTAACTTACTATAATTATAGTATTTGAAAGTCATTTTTAATTTGCTACATTAAACAACTATTTCTATACACTACAACTTTACCGAGTTTTGATAAAGTCATCTTTACAACACTATGTTTGTTTTTGAACTAGATCATCTAAGCTGTGATTTATTTTGTTCTTCAGTTATATTACTTTTTGTTGGTAGTGGATTTTTAAGTTTTATTTATGATTCTTATCAAGTGTTATGCATAATGTGTTTTACTTTATTTTTTGTCTGTTTTGTCCCTTAAGTAACTTAATCACAAAATAAACAGTGTATAGCAATTTCAAGCACAATTAGACATAAATGCATTCATTTATGTAATTATGAATGTAAATGTCTCATATATTTGATGAAATAAATTATTTGTAACTCTTTGAAATGATGTGAATAATGCAGTAATGTGACATGTGTATATTTACATTCAATGTTTTAAAACAAATTTCTTATAAATACTCCATCAGCATTATCAGTTGTTGGTAAAGCCACATGAGAATACGTAGTATATATCTATATATCTATATCTATATCTATATAGATATATAGATATATATGTAAATCTATATATATGTAAATAACTATTTCCAAAGAGTAAGAAAATGCCATTATTGATAACCAACAGTTCTTCTTCCTTTTTTTTTTTTTTTTTTG